GGTGATGCCGGATACTTTCCAGCATGACGTCAAATGACCCCATGATACTGCATGATACCGCGACACGCCCACCGGGGTTGCCGCGAAATACCCCACCCATTTTGAATGGCTGCATCTGTAGATATTGTTACAAGCTAGGACAGGTGACAATGGAGACTCAGACTCTAGATCAAGTGTGTAACATCTGGCTGTCTACAGATTACAGCAATGCAGGGGGATGTTTGCTGAGGTCCAGGGTCTGTGATTAAAGCAATCATAAAGAGTCCTTGGTTTACCTCTGGTTTACCTCTGTAAATTAAGTTGGGTAAATGTTCAAGGGTCATTCAAATTTCAGAAAGACACCATATTAGACCAGATCAAGACAGAGGAAGAGAAAAAGAAAAAGAAAAAGGGGGGAAAAAGTCAGACCCCACAACAGAGAGGAGACAGAAACAGACAGAACTTAAAGCTGGTGTCAGCCGAGAGTCCCTTCTTCATGATCATCTGAAAAACCCTGACTGCAGCTAAGTGTTTGAGCCTGACTAAGAGATTGCTATTCTGTAACCTTAAGAGAACTTGAAGCTCCTGAGTGAAGAATCCCTCAACTCCCTCTCCTGCTTAGTGTGTGCTGTTTAGAATAGGGAGGTAGGGTCCCATTGATTTTGTGGCATCCTGGTCAGAGAGAGAGATGTAATTGTAGGTTTTATTCTATTTCAGAAGGTAGCCTATCTCTTTTTTGGCCTCTAGGCATTATTTAGGAGTCACATAATTGGTAGCAGCCTGGGGTTTTCTGAGTTGACTAGATGTAGGAATCTGAAACGTTTGTCTGTGAACTAGTAAATACAGTAACTTGGGTGTTGTATGTTTATGTTGTGTGTAGTGTTACTGTCATTGTTAATAAATATTTGTTTAGCTGAATGTGCCTGAATTATTACTCTTTTCACCAAAGCTGCACCAGAGAATAAGGAATTCCTGTGCTTCTGCCTATACTAACCATTTGTATAGATTCTGGCAGAAATCTTTACAAGTTGGGGGTTATGATATTTAATTTTACTCACTGACTAATCCACTTAGTAATTTCCTGATTTTCTACTATTATTAATATATTATTAATATAATACTTACTGCAGGTTTGGAATCACAGCAGACAGGCTAACTGAAAATAAGTGACAAGCATTAGTGGATAAATGTTTTTCCAAAAGATAGGAAAGATAGAAGAGAGGAAAACTTCATGAATATGACATGAAATGAATGAATGAACATTCCAAAGTTATAGTGTTGGGCTTTTATTACAAAGCACTAAATGCAGATATACTGTAGAAGCTTCTTTTTCCCAGCTTAATAATGCCCACGTTTTTTTATTTTACTCCAAACATAAAATGTTGCTTGATACTTTTGTGGGAGTGCCAATTTTACCTTTACTTTCAATAAAACAAAGAACTTCTGAACACTTCTTGGTATCTCTATTTAAAGAAATCTTTATTGCAGCATTCAGTTGACCTAATTTCTGAAAATGACCTACTTGGCTTTTTACAAATTTCAAGTTTGACCAAATTACTTTTAGATTTTTAATATCTTCTAAATAATAGTTGCCTCTCCTTAGTGTCCATTTTGAGGTCATACTAAACTCTCCACATAAACAATACTTATTTTAAAGTATATGCAACTTAGATATAATTAATAACAATATTGGCATGTGTTGCTGTCTCAGAATTTGTCGTAGTATATGATAGTTCTGGTCAATTTATTTCCTATTATTAACTATAAGGTACAATGTTGAGTTCAAGATCATTGTCATAAAAACTGCTTTCTTTCTATAGCTGCTGCTGTGCAGGGTGTAATCAGTAGCACCGTTGCAGTTTCTACAGCTTCACACTATCAATCCTACCTATGAGGCTGGGTTAGAGCCCAACATGAGTCCCACTACGTGCCCCATTGAATCTATCCCACACTACCCCTTCTGGTCTTAATCAAATTTTCAAACATTGGCATGACCAGGAACACAATGATGACCCTGATGCCTGATAACAGAGAAGATATTGCACCTACTCTGTCTTTTGTTGAATGCTCACTGAGTTCTAAAACACTTTAATGGGAAAGGAAAACAATAAAGAATCAAGTACTTTTACTTTGGAAAATATAGGCAATCTTATTTCTACAGTTAGTCTGTTTCACTTTACTTTGAATATACTGTATATATATTTAACACAGTTAAAAATCACATTCAAAATTAAAACTGATAATGATTTATTAGTATCACCCTACATCTAACCCATCTATTAAGATAAGATAAGATCACTTTATTAGCCATATATGATTTCTGGCATTAGGAATTTGACTTTTCACAGACCCCAGTTTGCTCTCCATGAGACACACAGACAGGGAGAGAAGCTTGGAGTCAGAGCACAGGGTCAGCTATTGTACAGCACCTCTGGAGCAGTTATTGTTAAGGGCCTTGCTCAAGGGCCCAATGGAGTAGGATTCCTCTGCAAGACACAGGTGCAGATCCTTAGCCACAGTGCCACCACTCCACCCTGGTCTATATTGTAGACTAAATACTTGATACTGTATTTATTTTAAAAATATCTTTGGTTTTTCTTAATGTTGTCTCATACAAATGATAAAGTTCAGGTGTCCGTGTAGTAGAAGTCTCTTTATTTTGACTTGCAACCACCAAACTCCCCAACCAGTACAAGAATTAGTCTTTTATACTGTACCTTAAAACAAACGGGCTACTACGACACATTTTGAGACAGCAACACATGCCAATATTGTTATTAATTATATCTAAGTTGCAGACAGAAAGTTAGTTCCTTTCATATGTTCTGGACACACAGCCATCTTACCTCATACATGCCCTTTATCTTACTGACCAAGGCCAGGCAGCACATTTTTATATTTGGCTAAGCCAACTTCAAGCCACTAGACTGCATAGTTTGCAAACAATACAAAATACAAATGATATTATTACCTCACTTCCCAGGTGTCTCCCTTATCTCTTAATTAGGTAAAATAGAAATAAATATCAGTTGGTTCTGACTTTAAACAAATTTTGTAAATGTTTTTTAACCACTAAATCTGACAAGTCATATCGTAGCAATATTGCTATTGTTATGTATAAACCTTTCTCCTTCCTTCAGGTTGTAGAAAAACAAGATGACTCAGAAAATGACCACACTGCTTCTGTTCATGACTGTGGTCATCAGCAAAACAACCTCGGTAAATATATCTCAATTCAATTTAGAGAAAATTGTAAAATTTCAAACACAAACTACTTTGATATACAGTATTGCATTTTATGTAAAAAGAAATGTTTGTATAAAGTCAATAAGGATGTGAGGAAACTCCTGACTAGAGAAACTAGGGTGTCTCCAGAATTCTTTTACTTCGAATCTTCTATTAACTTTCTGTGAACGGCTTCTACTTTACCCTGTTTAGTATCCAGTTCCAATGGCTGATCCTATCTATATCAGGTGAATTTTCTGTTAGAAATCTGTCTAGCTTTTCTTTTTTTCCAAAAAAATCTTCAATCCTCTTTAAACCCTCAATCCTGCCACCATTGCATATTTTGAGTTCTGATAAGTGTATCAAACTCAGACATGTCATCATCATAAAAAGAAAACCATTCTCTTTTCTCCAGTTGCTCCGCAGCCTCCTGACTGAGAAACTTCTAAATAATAATACAGTTCTATACTGTTTTCTTAGTCCTTAGTTACTGTTGTAGTGGTTTTGATGGGTTTACTGAGACAATTATTAATTGTAGCAGTAATCACGAGGTTGTTCGTCGGGGCTTTTAGAAAATCAATCGTCAGAACAACTAACAACGCACACACACGGGTTCAATACACGGGATACATTTATTAATATAACTGTGCAACAAACATATACTAGTCTGCCTGGATACGAGCGGCAGACCTTACGGTGAGGGTTATCAATATACAAGGTATATAATCTCGAAGAGATGCAAACACAAAGAGATACACAACAGAGAATATATGTCAATATATATCGTTCGGTTACCAAATCGCTAATCAGTGTTATTACCCACTGTTACTCTAAACTCGTAAGTAAATACATTACTCATGAATAAATTGATAACAACTTATGTTGAGGTACAATTGAATTCTCGAGACGCAATGTAGAACATGGGGTTTACTTATCCACAATGTATGGATTTGGAATTTCCCGGCACGAACACCAAACCAGCTGACAGGCTCTGTTGCAGCCTCTGTTGCAGCGGTTGTCCAATGGGCGTTGTCCCGGCGTCCTCTGGCTACCGGCCAACCAGTCGAGGTGCAGCTCGGAGTAGGACGGGCGGAGGAATCTGACTGCGGCGCGCAGGGCAGTCGTTGCTCCGAGGGGATCTACCAGCAGTCCGGCTGGCTAGTAGAAAGTCTCTATGCACAGAGTGTGACCGCGAGTCCTCACAAGTCACTCTTTTGCCTGGGAAGAAACTGGTTCGTTCCCGGTCCAGCGCTGCTTCTGAATAAGCTATTCAGGTTGTCGACGAGGGTCCAACTGTAGGCTGCCGTTGATCAAGCGGAGCATTCACGTTGGTAGAATTCTGAGTACGTACGGGTTCCTCGGCCTCGCGCTTTGAACAAAGTCCAAGTCCTTTTGCAGACAACAGCAGTTGTCACGTGATTGTCTCTGAGGATGCGCGAAAATGGCCAAGGAGAGCCCCGATCTGAGCTTGCGCTCCCTTTTTGATCAAGACCCAGATGTGTGCTGATTGGTTGAGAGTTTGGCGGGCATTGGAGACCCACGTGGTATTACCACGCCCTGCCAGTCCCTGATTGGTTGGTCAAGGTGAGATATAAGTCACTTACTCTTGACACTTAGGAATGCAGTCCAGATGTCCATTCGGCACTCCCTAGACTGATAGGCGCCAATAGATGACCATTGATCATGATAGCCAGGCTCAGCTAATTGCATCCCCGTCTGCGAGCTTGTTTCTTATCACAAGAAAACACTCTTAAATCAGCTTGCATGAATTCTTTCTCTGTGGCTGCACCACAGAGATGGAGGGTGAGATGGGGCCTCTTTTAGGAGAGCATACCAACGCTTAATTCTGTCTTATTAACAAGCATTGCCGCTACACTGTAGTTGGTAGTTGTTGAAAATGTGAATGAAAACAGTAGAAAGTTCCACATGAACAACATCAACACAGGCAGTAATCCAATGCAATAATCATGTGGCCTGTGATGGACTGGCTTCCAGCCTCGGGTTCACCCTACCTTGCCCATTGCTTGCCACAACAGTGTGTGGGGTAACTGAGGTACCCAAAGGAAACCAAAGAAAAACATGCAAACTCCATGCAGATAGTGTTCCAAGAATTGAACAAAATTAGTACTTAAGAATACAAGTTTTTGAAAGTCATATTGTGCTTATCTTACGCAGAAAATTATATATACTAGCTAGATACTGTATATGTAATACAGTATGCTACATGGTGTGTTTCAGATGAGGAGCTGCAAAAGGGGGGTTATCTTATCTCAGAAAATGGAAATTACAAAGCTGTATTTCAGGTACGTTTATTTGATTCCTCAAAAAGAACAGAGCAAGAACCAGGATGTGCAAGACTTGTCACTAGTGTCCCTGTATATGAGTCTTCAATTTCTGAAATTCAGCTCAAGCGTCCATCCGCATTAATTCCTGACAATGTTTGGATGCTTCCCCAAGGAGTCACGGACCTCTTCTGGGACCTGAAAAAAGTGAAGACATCCCACTGAAAGAGAATCTTCATGATTCTCCAAGAAATCGTTTTTATCTCTTTTGTCACTGTGATGCCATTCAACATCCATTTTCTGCCCGCTTCATCCAATTCAGGGTTGCAGGAGAACAGAAGCCCATCCTGGCAGCAAAGTGTGCGATGAGTACCATTGCACTGCTACTGTTCCAGCATCAGATAAGAAAGGATAAGATTCTAAAAATATTATTAGCACTTTTGTGGCTTAGTGTGAGTGTGAGGTCGTCATTTTTCTTCATTTCATTTTCTTTTTCTTTTTTCTTTTAGTCCTGGTCCCTGCCGCCAAGTGGGGTCTTTTTCCAGGCTGGACCCAGTTAGACAGGGTCAGTGCAGCCTAGGCACTGATCTACACGCTTTACACAACGGCGCACTTTAAAAAAAAAACAGTTTATTTTTGTTTTGTTTTCTTTTCTCTAACCTCACACCAGTGCCTCCGCCCCCTCAGATGCCGTGTCAAGACCGCGGCTCGTCCCACTTCCGCACTTTATATTCTCAGCCTCCTGAGTTCATTTTAATGTTAAAATGTCAGCTGCATGGTAAGAAACTTTATTATGAAGGGGCGTATTGCACCTGGCACATTATTTAGTGTTCTAGTGTGCTTTTTGTACATTTTATATGCAGAAAAAGTGCAGTTTAGTGAAAGTTAATGGAAAGGTACAACCACAGAAGTAGTCTGCCTGTGAAAGCATGGTACCAGTAGCTACTTGACCACTTTACTCTGAAGCAAGAAGGGATTAATTCTGCCAGAAAAGTATGAGTCAAAATGTAAATATATGTTTCAGCAGCATCCCATCCAACATGTACCCTGCTTTGCGGGCGTTGCTTGTCAGGAAATGCACCAGCTCCACCATGACCCTGAGCTGGTGGAAGCGGTTAGAAAATGGATGGATTTTTAAGTGGTCAGGGAAGTGAAACATCCACTTTGAGGTTTGCCATTGAGAAATTACTCTTTTGCTACTTACTAATCAGCTAAGATATTGATTGTATCAAACAGGATAGCTTGATTTGTAAAGAACACCCACATCTTACTTATATCTTTCTGATCTTTGTCACCTTTTGATTTTTCATCCTTCTCCAGGATGATGGTAATTTTGTGATATACGGCTGGAAGTCAATCTGGGACAGTGACACCGCTGAGACGTGCAATGTTGATCATCTGATAATGCAGAGTGACTCGAACTTGGTGGCCTACAAGACTGACGGTAAAGCCATGTGGCAGACCAACAACCACACCAGCAGTGGCTTCGAAGACTGTGTGCTTCAGCTGAGAAACGACGGCACCTTAGTCATCGAAAGAGATGGTGAAGTCTGGTCCTCTGCAACATCCCGGGGTCTCAAGTATTGAGTAACCTTTTAACTGAACACTGCTACAAATGGACAACTCCATTAAATAGTTCTATTAGCCTCTGAAAATGCCAAAAGGGAAGGTACAGAAAATAAAAGAGTCCAAAATATCTGAGAGTGTTTAATTTTCTTCAGAGTTAGATACCAGGTGGGACTGATTAAACCCTGGATATGGAGAATAAACAATGAAAATGGGTTAAAACAATATCATCTGCAACACTAGATAAGAGATAAGATAACTTTCCTGGCCTTATACAATTTCTTGCATTAGGAATTTGTCTTTTCACATACCCCAGCTTGCTCGGGGAGACACACAGACAGGGGGAGAAGCTGGGGGTCAGAGTGCAAGGTCAGCCATTTACATGGCGCCCCGGAGCAGCTGGGGTTAAAGGCCTTGCTCAGGGGCCCAGTGGAGTAGGATTCCTCTGCCGGCCACGGGATATGAACCAGCAACCTTCCAATCAGGTGCAGATCCTGAGCAACAGGGCCACCTCTCCGCATAAAGCACCTGGAGATGGCAGGGATGGCCAGATGGCTTCTGAGTTCTAGGGGAGCCTCAGATTGGACAGGGCTTTGCAGTTTCTCCTAAATATGTAGACATGCATGCAACAAATTAAATCTGTTTAATAAATCCCATGAAGTGATGTTCTTAAAGTGTTCTTCCCATGTATCATTTTTTTAATAAGCAGGACTCACACCCCTACTCTTTTCGAGAAACACCTTGAGGTTTTTAATGACCACAGAGAGTCAGGACCTCGGTTTTACATCTCATCCAAAGGAAGGTGCCCGTTTTAGAGTATAGTGTTCCCATCACTATACTGGGGTATTAGGACCCACATGGACCACAGGGTGAGCACCTCCTGCTGGGCCCACTAACACCTCTCCCAGCAGCAACCTTAGTTTTTTTGCAATTTAATCTAAATATACACCATATATCACATGCTCTGTGTATTCATTAGAATCTTTGTTATTAAAAAAACTTGGTTGTTAAAGCTGATAAAGTTGGTTAAAGATAAAGTTGGTTACCTGGGTTATTTGACCTGAAAATGTATTAATTTTGAGTCCTTCCAGTCCTGAAACACGTCTGCCTAAGGCAGATGACTTATGGGGGGGTCTTCAGGGGAAGAACTACTGAGTGAAACATTTATTTAAAGATTTATGCAGATGCAGCCATTCAAAATGCACGGTACAAACCCGCGGTAAGGGAAGCTAACCACAAGCCACTGCAGGGCACTGCAGTAAGTGATTGGCTGGCCAAAATGACCGACAGGGGCACTCATGGTGCATTGGTCGGTAGTGAAAAGATTTAATCATTTAATCTCTTTACTGTGCACATTTTAATCCGCTTAGTATTGAATATTTATATGAAATTTTACCACTAAAGGGAAATTATAGTAGTTGAGCATAAAAAGAAGAGGACCATAATGCATCTGAAGGTCATAAACGATATTAATTTAGGAACATAAACATTACTGTATGTAAACTGTACTGTGTGTGGCTGGTCTTGGTAGTTTAAAGAAAAAATACACACCAGTCTTCCATTTCTCCCTAAACATTTTAAGCATGAAAGTTTTATGAAACGGTACCCAAATATGTGATTGCTGTATAGAATTAATTTTAATTTAAAAAAAATATTTAACACGAAAATTAAGCTGTTTACATCTTCCGCCTGAGAACATAGTCACCTGTTGCTACCCTACGCAGAAACACAGCCACTAACTAGCAAAGAGAGGACATTAGCTAGCCAATATGATAAAGAAATAAATGATTATTTTGTTTATTTCTTTTGCACATTTATTTGAACATTGCCATCGATTGTACAAGCACTTGGAAACTGTCCAATCCCTAGTTCATCAGGCATTTTCTTTTACGCTGCGGGCATTCTCCCGGTCTGGCGCCGGTCTGTGTCTTCTAGGATATAATGCCAGCGATTTTTTTTGGGTTTCCAATAACCCCGCAGCAAACTCTTGTTTTTGTTTCCACTATAACAGACAATCTCCTTTGCTTTTAACCGAGCGTTTAATAATTTCCTAAAATGATAATGATTTACTTTATTTCCCTCACGGGATCAATAAAAGTATCTATCATCTATCTAAACTGAGACAGAATTCCGGGGTCTCATTATACCAGAGATTAAGGTAGAGCTTCAGAATGGTGATTGGCTGACACCTCTGATTGGGAAAAAAAGACGTGTTGATCTGCTATACATACTGTACCAGGAAGAGGATTTCTTTGAAACGTGTATTTTAAAAGTTTAATTAAGAAGTAAAAACCTTACAGCATACACAGATTTCTAAACTGATCAGGAGGAAGAAAAATCACCCGTGTTTCGTGCATAAAAAGTGGTTATTAACTATCGAAGCCTTTTTTATTTATTTTATTTTTATTTAGATTTAGATTATTTAGAGTTCCCATCACCCCCATTCCCATTTAAATCACAAACCTGTGTTTAATTAAATGTCTTTTAACGTAAATCGTTATCTTTGTCTTCTGCATAATAATGTTCACCACTCTGTCCAGCAAATTAATAATAAACTTTATTTTATATAGCATTTTAAACGACTAAGTAATTAGATTGCTCATAAACCTAATCACTTATTCTACATAAACACAGTGTAATTGCTCTCTGAAAATGCTTTTTCTTTTTATTTCAGCTCAGATTTCAACTATAGATCGTACACTGATTACTAGCGAAATACTGATGTTTTGCTCCCTCTTACCACAAAAATATTAAAAATAATGCATTGTAGCTGGGATAAACTTTTTTTTGAACGTGTCTCTACCTGCTGTGACTCGGACACGGATTGGTTAAAGATAGCGACAACTCAGGCACCCAGAGTTGGGGGGGCATCTTTCCGCCTCCCCAACTAAAATGCCAAATAGGAGTAGTTTTTAATTCAGTTTGAATTATAACTGTACGTACTGT